TGCCTTCTAATGCAGGAAGTGAGAATCCTGGTGCAGCTGATGATGGCAGCTCCTTTCCTATTGCTGGGGCTCTTGAAGTTTTATCAACCATCTCTACTGCTGTCCAAAGCACAGTAAGTGAGTTGGGAATGTAGGAAGAAATGAATTTAAGAGAACTTTGGGGTTTTGACCTTTCACCTGAAATACTGTGAGAGGAAACTAACTTTGACATTTGTGGGATGAATGGTGAGAAACTGTTTCAACCTTCAGACGCCCTTTATCCTGCACCTTTCTTCTATTTGGCACCTAATGTGTAAGATATGTTGAATTTCGATAGTTCTGTGTTAAATGTTGATACATAACAACAAAAACTAACGGTGGACTGTGCAGAGCTGCATTTCCATGCGTTTCACCTCTGGACTCTGTCATCTCTGCTCCCTTCCTTTAGAGTATTCAGGTAAATGCAGGGTCAGACTCATTCCTGGAATAGTTCCACTGATTTCCACAGAACTGTCTAGAGATGAAATCCATTCTCCTTTTCAAAAACCTCTGTGAAACTAGCCCAATTTGCTTGGAAATCAGCTAGCTCCTGTGACCATGAGAAATGCACTTCAAAGGAAGCCATTACCCTCAGAAACTGCTTTTGTGATCTGCTGTCTTGTCAATTTGCCCGTGAATCTGAAAGAGCTGCAGATGGAAAGCTTGCTCCTGCTTTTAAGGCTTGAACAAAAGTTAGCAACCAAAATCCACAAGTCTAGTGTTTTCTCACTGGAAGGATGAGCACTAAATAATTTAATGTGCTGAGAACCAGCTTGTTCACAAACTAAAAATGCATTTCCCGCCAGACTGCTGCAGCTCTCTGGGTGCTGTAATAAACTGTTGGATGTTAATATGCTGTGGCTCTTTCTCTGTCCTTCTGCTCTCTTTGTGATTATTAGGGTTGAATTTTAGGGTGACAAGGACCCATTTGGCTTTTATGTGAATGTCCAGCATCACACTGTTGATATAAATCCCCCGATTCAATTTCTTCCCCTTTATAGTCTCTTGCAAGTTTTACATGCTGTCTTTATCCAAACCTGATTCCTAGGGAAAAACTGTTATTAGTGGAGGTCTGGATGCCTTGGAATTCATCGGGAAAAAGACAATGGATGTAATAGCCGAGGGAGACCCTGGATTCAAAAAAACAAAGGGCCTAATAAACAGAACCTCTACGTTATCTCAGGTATGGCAGTTCCCCATCAGCACCTCGTTGGTTTCTCTCATTTCTTCTCCCTTCTTTTGCCATCCTTTCATTAAGCAACCATTTCAGCTACTGAACTAAAAGCCTTTTCCTCCTGTATTCTGTATCTTCTGGCACTGTCACGAGGCCTCTGCTTTTCTTCTTCAGGTCTTACGAGAGGCAAAGGAGAAAGAAGAGCAGCAGACAGCTACCAAGGTTACCATGGCTACGGAGAAGAAAGCCCATTATGGGTTACTGTTTGATGAGTTTCAGGGTCTTTCGCATCTGGAGGCCTTAGAGATGCTTTCCAGAGAGAGTGAATCAAAGGTAATGGCCTTGAGCATTTTGCTTTCTATTTTGAGCTCAGCTGAGCAGGCAAAAAAAAAAGATTAGAAATATGTGTAAATGCATGTAAAATCAAGTCTCAGAACTTGCTATAAAATGATGATTACACAGCTTCACTTGGACCTCTGCATTAGTATTTGATGTTTACCTTGGGAGCAATTTGTCCTGTCCTCGGCTCCTAATGCAATTCCCTTTACCCAGCCAGCCCCGGGTCCTGCATGTCTTCAGTAACTTTTCACAAGTTACTCTCCTCACACCCACTTGTTTGCTGCCTTGGTCTGGAGAAGAGGAAAGTGCTGTAAGCACAGCAGAGATTGTCCTCTCTGTCTTGAGGCAGGGAGGAGGGCAGATGAGCATGCAGTTTCAGAAGTCACTTTTTTTTTTGTGAAAGAAATGTGAGTAACTCCTTAAGAATCCATTATTACCTATCAGGGCTTCACAAAGAGGTCTTTTTCCTCCTTCCTGTAGGAACATACCACTTTCTCATTACCATCAATCTGTCATGTTTTTACATGCAGTGTAAACTAGTGCTGCATTTTCTGTCCTACTGAATGGATT